ACTTGATGTTCAATCATGCTGACCCGTGGATATGTCATCAATTATCACGAAGCCCCTTACTACAACACCTTTCAGCACATTCTGACATTCTTGACAACACGCAATCCGTCTTGGCAACTGTGTCTCCTAATTTCCAATGCAGTGATGTTTAAAATAATCTAACGAGTTCTTGTAACGACTCACCATAAGTGCGCATTCTCCATTGGTGCAGTAGTATAAATAACAAGTGTGAAAAGGAATCGAGAGTGGCCAACGTCATGTGAACAATAAAGGAGGAATCAAAGGCATCTTGACAAACGACCCTTTTTCTCTAAAAAGAACTGAGCGCATATTGCCCGACAAAACTCCGAATGCATGGTCATAATACCTTTTGCCGAAACAAAAAGGGGGTACAAAATAAAAAGGGTCTTGGGCAAAATCAATCATCTTTAGTCTTATGCCAAATATTTGGCAACGTCTGCCCCTCCTCTCTGGACTGTCTTCTCGCTCTATTCTGTGTACATAACTTCAGGCTTCGTCAATCGTCCATTTCTTTTTCTTGACCGTGTCGGAATCATACGAAGCCGTGATACAACATCGCGTTCCCGCTATATGCTCGCTTAATTTGTATGTATCGAGAATCATCTTTCATCGTTGATCTTGAATACTGCCCACAAACGACGGATCGCTCACACTGCCGCCGGCATCTCCAAGTCCAGCAATCGGCCGATTGTAGCTAAACCCTTGGAACTGGTTCTGCATGGTTTGTGACAACATTGGCCCTTCCACATATGAATCCTGGGGTGCCTCTCTAGTGAAATCCGGATCAAAGTTAATAGTGTCCAAGGCGTCAGCCTGCGAGTGGTTAGTCGTAATCCTCAGTGATTCATAGAATGCAGCGCAGGGGTTTGAAAGTTGTTGTTTTTTTTTTGGTGGGGTTGTCACTTACAACACTGGGCTTGAATGTAGGCTCGTACTTGCGCTGCAGCAGCTTGCGCCAGTCAATAGCATGGAAGAAGGGGTGTGCTTTGATCTCAGCAGAGCCCTTGGCACCTAGACGCTCTTCGGGGTCTCGGTTCAAGAGCTTTGTGAGAAGATCTTTGGCAGCCGGGGGTACGACGTCAGAGAAGTGGAGCGGTTCGGATAGAATCTTGCGATACATCTCGTTGGTGTTCTCGTCATAAAATGGCGGCAGACCTGTCAACATCTCGTACAGCAAAACCCCGAGTGTCCACCAGTCAACTGTCTTGTTGTATCCCTTGCCCATGAGCAATTCCGGGGCCAGGTATTCGGGGGTACCACAGAAGGTGTTAGTACGGTCTTCATCCTTCATATCAAGCTTGCAAAGACCAAAGTCACAGAGCGCAATGTGGCCCTGGTAATCAAGCAAGATATTCTCGGGCTTTAGATCGCGGTAAATAACACTGAATCCATGTAAACATTCCAGGGCGCAAAGTAATTCCGCCGTGTAGAACCTAGCTCTGTTTACATCAAAACGATGCTCCTTTTGTAAATGGTAAAATAGCTCTCCGCCGTTGACGAAAGCAAGGACAAAGTACAGCTTCTCAGGCGACTGAAAACTGAACTTAAGGGGTACAATGAAAGGATTATTGATCTGCGCCAGCACAGACCGCTCAGCTAGAGTGTGAGCAACTTCAGATCGGGAAATGATGTGTGCCTTTCGAATAGTCTTGAGAGCATAGATGCGATTCGTATCTTTCTTGCGAACCTGCATGACCTTGCCAAAACTGCCCTTTCCAACTACTTTGAGCAGCTCAAAGTCTTCAATCTTGAGCTTTCCCGCGCGAGTTTCGACGTATTCAACACCAACCTTGATCTTTCCAGTGCCAAATTGGATATCAACCCACTCGACACCGCTGTGGCCGTCACCTTTGTGGCGTTGTGCGTGTTCAGCGGCCGCCTTCTCTCGATCTTTCTTGCTTGCCTTGGGGTCCTCAACGTAGGGATGCCTCTCTTCAAATTTCGGGTTGATCCTGGCAACACCCAAGAAAATATCTTGGCTGCGACCGGCCCCGGGGCCCGCATTGGGATTTCTCAAGTAGAGGTGAATGACGAGCTCCGTCACTCGCGAAACGTCAAACTTGTACTGAGTATTTCCGCCTGCCCAGAGTGGATTCTCGGGGTTGCCGTCGACCGAATTCACAAACACCTGGACCTTGTCGAAATCGAGAAGGGCATATGGCATATACTTGCCCGAAATACGGCCGTGTTTGGTCGGAATGCCTCCAAAACCTCCTGCTGACGAGTGTGGTCGGGCAGATCCGTTTATAAATGATCCGGCAACTCGTTGAGAAGATGAAGGCCTAACAGAGCCCGCAACGCTAGACGCCGCATTGCTGGTAGATAGCGATCCTTGGTGCTGTGAGGTGAAGACGTTTCGATGTGACTCTGGCAATGAAAATCCTTGGCCCTCGTGGAGTGTTACAACCAAGATGCCGGGCTTCGGTGGTGTGACAACGGGTGCCTGAGCCATGGCTTCTGAAGCGGCTAGATCGGATGCACATTAGGGCAAGAAGTTGGATCAAAGGAAGGCTACTTGTCACTGCTTACCGATGGCGCTCTCTGTGGTCGGAGTGACGGCGCCGGAGGCTGATGGTGTCTTGTCATCTTTCTCCGTGATGGTCGAGGTGGACGGCGATCGAGCAAAGGGACTCAGAGTCCCTAAATGGGTCTCCTTGAGCTCTGTTTCCAGCCATGATAAGCATTTGGTCCTCTAAAGATTCAAAAGGATGACGTCGGGACGTGTTGCATGACGAGCAAGGGGGCGGCAATCCAATCCCCCAAACATGAAATGCTTTGAAGGAGATACTAACTCTTGGTGAGCTTCCAAGACATGGCAGTTATCACGGCGTGGATATCAGCACTCGTCGGGGTCGGACAAGGTCTATCTCGCGGTGTCGAGAATGTAAGACAGAATCTGAGAGTTCGTCTGGTGGGAAGGGTATCCTTCTTAATGAGCCCTAGGCGTAGAAATCGGGGGCGAGTTTAATCTTCGGCCACCAGCTGGAGGGAGAAGATGAAGGGCCTGCAGACAAGCCGGGTTGCTGATGGCGGGAGACGGAGGCGAAGGCGTGGGGGGAATACCGGTTGGACAGAGTAAGGAAGAAAGGCTGATGCTGAGGTGGGATGGATGAGTGGTTTGGCGGACGGTCCAGATGATTGCTGCACCACAGCCAGAGGCAGAAAGACTCCCGCAACCCCGCAGATACAGGCCCTTGCTCGAGAGTCAAGACGGTCCGGTCGCTGACTGGAGCGGGGCGCTTCAGCACTTCAACACAACTGGACTGGTCCGGCCGGGTCTTACTAGACTCTGCGCTTGGTGAGGGTGGACAAAGCCACTGGTTTCAATGTTTGCGTGTATTGGACGCTGGCGGTGGGTAGTTCTACTGTACTCGAGAGCCTAAGCAGAGGAATCCGTACAATCCAGAGGACAACAGAGGAGGAGAATGGAAGGAAAGAAATGGCGCAGGCACGCCGGGGAGTTTTCAATGTACGAATAACAAAACTTTAATACATGACAGATGTTGAGAGGCGAGGCCGTGGCTCGTAACATTGAACATTGAATGCTTGGGGCAGTGACAGGCGACCCCGGCGCTGCAGCGTGCCAACTTTAGAACTTGTCAAGTCTGGTCGTCAAGCGTCAAATAGACTGCGCCGACGCAGTGGCCCGTGACTTGCTTAGCACGGAGGATAGAGCACACCAAACAATCAAATGGCTTGAGTAATCAAATGAGGCGAAGCAGCTTCCTGGCCAGCTGGAGTCTTGTGTCTCGTCTCGTCTCGAAATGGCTGTTCATGTTGGAGGGGCAGCGCCTATCGATGCCGTCAATGCTGTCAATGTTGTCAATGCCCAGACCGAGGATGGCGCAGCATGTGGATAAGGAGCTACCTTTGCCTTCGTAATTTGCACACATGTGCAGTGACTAGCGTCTTTCCTCCCCTATGTCGTTGCTGTTTGGGCCCCCCAACTACAGTGCTTATACTTTCGTCCGAGGTCCTGCGCGAACGTGGCACTGGCTCATCTCGAGCTAATCGGGGGACCGCGATGACCGAACCCCTGAACAAGGCGATATGTATGTTGTCGGGTTTGAGTGTGTCCCGAGAATCAACTATTTAATACGCAATTGGCTTTGCGGCCTTGTATGCTTTTCTTGGGACATGGCACGGCTGGCCCTACGTAACGCATGCTTCCAGATTTGCAACAGAATACGGCAGATATCGCAATACCCTAGACCGCGGGTTCATGGGTACAGTGAAGTTCCGATCTTGATGCTCGAAGCTGCATCCGACAATAGGTTGTTAGCTCTTGGGGGCGCGTTCGGCTTATGTTCCTCATCATCATCTAGATCGACGAGGGGTCTTCGTGTGGACGGATAAGGGGAATCACGGCGAGTGCCATAGAAGCCTCTTGTGCCCAACATGAGATCAATTGATTCCACGGCCCTCAGAGTCGAAGCCGACCGCACTCTGCAACAGCAGATTGGGTGTTATCGATATTCCAGTGAATCATCTCCGGTCAATTGCGTAAACTTGACATATTCCGAGTGCGTACGGAGCGGTAGACAGACCTCCGCGCCAAAAGGGGGTTGATACCTGACATTCCAGGCCTAGAAAACCCGCTCTCATTGGCCCATGCACGGGTGCCAGCCTGGCACAACCCATGGCGATGAGGGTCAATCAGCCAGTGTGACGACGGCTGGGACACTTTGGACACAATTTCGACGAAGCTCCCTTGGTCTCGCTGCCAATTTGCCAATCTGCCACTCTGTCGATGCCGCAGCGCCATCCTGCCTTCGACGTGCGAGCCCTGCCGTTACAACCCCTTGAATAACTTGCGCCAACTCTTCTCATCACGCATTATCCGCACACTCGCATGGTGGCTGCCACGATATCAATAACCTCCGTCCTTCCCACCCCACCCGCGACACAACAACTTCATCCTTGCCGACTGCTTCGACCCTGGCGACAGCCATTGATCGTGTGCGATACATATTGGCATCATGAAGCTCGACGTCAAGGTTAGTTGCCTGTTTAAGCACTGCAATGGTCCTCTGTGGACGCCAAAAGCTAGCCTTGAGCTCCCTGGTTCACTCCGCACTTCCACCGCCTCTCGTGGCCAGAAACTATCTTTTCCAAAATAGACGTCAAACGCAGGAGAAAAAATCGCTGACCTGGAATTCTGTTGCTTGTAGCGTCAGCTGTATGCTCGCAGTGAGCGAGTGAAAGGCGTCGACTTTCACCCTCAGGAGCCATGGATCCTCACCACACTCTACAGCGGTAGGCATTTAACCCCCATATACGCACGACCAGTGGCCCCCCGCGGACCTCGTGTATACTAATTCTTCTCCCGAATTCTAGGCCATGTCTACATTTGGTCGTATGAGACTCAACAAACGGTCAAGACTTTCGAGCTTACCGAGGTGCCTGTTCGAGCTGGTCGATTCGTCGCACGCAAGAACTGGATTGTCTGCGGCTCAGATGATTTCCAAATACGTGTCTACAATTACAACACCTCGGAAAAGGTGGCCCAATTCGAAGCACACCCCGATTACATTCGCGCAATCGCGGTTCATCCAACTCTTCCCTTCATCCTGACCGCCTCCGACGATATGACGATTAAGCTCTGGGATTGGGACAAGGGTTGGAAGTGTGTTCAGGTGTTTGAGGGCCACAGCCACTATGTCATGGGTATTGCCATCAATCCCAAGGATACAAATACTTTTGCCTCTGCGTGCTTGGATCGAACTGTCAAGATTTGGAGCTTGGGCTCGTCTACCGCCAACTTCACATTGGAAGCTCACGAGAGCAAGGGCGTGAACCACGTCGACTACTACCCTCACTCCGACAAGCCTTATCTTCTCACCACTTCTGACGATCGAACTGTCAAGGTCTGGGACTACACCACCAAGTCCCTGATTGCCACGCTCGAAGGCCACACCAACAATGTCTCCTTTGCTTGCTACCACCCAGAACTTCCCGTCATCGTTTCCGGTTCCGAGGACGGGACAATCCGAATCTGGCATGCCAACACGTACCGATTCGAGCAATCTTTGAACTACAGTCTGGAGCGCGCTTGGTGTGTCTCTTATCAGAAGGGCAAGCAAGGAATTGCTGTCGGCTACGACGATGGTGCTGTCGTGGTTAAACTGGGGCGAGAGGAGCCTGCTGTCTCTATGGATGCGTCTGGCAAGCTTATCTGGGCCAGACATAACGAGGTCGTGTCCTCCATCATCAAGGGAGATGCCTCCCTCAAGGACAATGATCCCATTTCGCTTCCCACCAAGGACCTCGGAACTTGTGAAGTGTACCCTCAGACTTTGATTCACTCGCCGAATGGTCGTTTTGTCGCAGTTTGCGGTGATGGCGAGTATATCATCTACACGGCCCTGGCATGGCGTAACAAGGCGTTCGGATCTGCCTTGGACTTTGTCTGGGGCTCCAAGGAGAACAGCAACGACTTTGCCATTCGCGAATCAGCAATGAGTGTCAAGATCTACAAGAATTTTGTCGAAAAGAGCGGCGGTCTCGATGTTGGCTTCCAGGCTGATGGTCTTACCGGTGGCGTTCTTCTGGGTGTTACTGGCCAGGGTGGCATCTCATTCTTTGACTGGGCAACTGGTGGCTTGGTGCGGAGAATTGAAGTCGAGCCAAAACATGTTTACTGGTCAGAGAGTGGAGAATTGGTTGCCATTGCTTGCGAGGACAGCTGTTATGTCCTGAGATTTTCTCGAGAAAACTATATCGAAGCTGTCCAGTCCGGCCAAGTAGAGGATGACGGTGTTGAGTCGGCTTTCGAGGTTATTACTGACATTAGCGAAACGTAAGTCTGGTCTTGAAATCTTTTTTGGTGTCAACGAAGAAACGAAGAGGATCCAGGGTGGCTAATGATTGAATTACAGTATCCGAACTGGTGAATGGGTTGGAGACTGCTTCCTCTACACTAACAGCACCAATCGCTTGAATTATTTGGTTGGCGACCAGACGTACACCGTATCACATTTTGACAAGCCCATGTATATCCTGGGCTACATTCAGCGAGACTCCAGAATCTATCTGGCCGACAAGGATGTCAACGTCACATCGTTTGGCCTCTCGCTTCCCGTTCTTGAGTACCAGACTTTGGTTCTTCGAGAAGACATGGAAACGGCCGCCGAGCTGCTACCCACCATTCCCAACGACCAGCTTAACAAGATTGCGAGATTTCTCGAGGGACAGGGTCACAAGGAGCTGGCATTGGAGGTTGCCACCGACCCTGAGCACAAATTTGATCTTGCACTGGCACTGAACCAGCTGGATACGGCCCTCGAGCTGGCCCGCGCTGCCGATGTGGAGCACAAGTGGAAGACAGTGGGAGATTCTGCCCTGGCTGCATGGGATGTGGCTTTGGCGGCCGAGTGTTTTACTCACGCCAAGGATCTGGGCTCATTGCTTCTCCTCCACTCATCTACTGGTGACAGGGAAGGGTTGGCAACTCTTGCGAAGCAAGCGCAGGAAGCGAACTCTCACAACATTGCCTTCTCTTGCTCATGGCTCTTGGGTGACGTCGAGCAGTGCGTCGAAATTTTGACCAAGACGGGACGACTGGCCGAGGCTGTTCTTTTCTCACAAACGTACAAGCCGAGTTTGACCAAGCCCATCGTGAAGGACTGGAAAGAGAGTTTGGAAAAGTCTAAAAAGGGCCGAGTAGCGAAACTTGTTGGAGTTCCCGAGGATGACGGCGACTTGTTCCCCGAATGGGATGCGTGGCTAAAGGCCGAAACCGAGGGCGGCTTAGCAGCGAATAATCTAGCAGAAACGAACGGCGAGCAAGACGAAGCCGAGATCGAGAAGCAAGAAAAGACGAAGGCGGAGGAAGAGGAAGAGGAAGATGAGTAAAATGAGGGGGGGCTCAAATAGGCGAAATGATCGTATGAATTTCTTTTTGTTAGACACAGTGGCAGAAAAAGGTCCATAGATGCCTCCCCGGTAATTCAATAAGTCAAAACGGACAATTCCAGCAAGGCACCAGTGTGTCTCTGATGATACGTTGCAACGTAGGAGAAAGACATGGGCTCATGCAGGATAGTTTGGTTGAGAATACTCGAGTCGATGCGTGTTCATGACTCCTATTCCCCTGGCTCGAAAACGATGCCGTCTCTCGAGGCGTTAGTTGGCAAGTGAGCGATTAGCCATGGAGCACGACTACGACTTAATAGTGTTCAGCCCCGAGGGAATACAACAGAACAAATCATCCCTTACTTGACGACAGGTTCCACAATTGCTACTCAATTTCACTTATGATTCCACCTGAGAAGACGTTGTAGCTGCTCTCGTCAAATACATGACTGTTTCTGGTAACAGTGCCTAGGCTCAGGCTGTTTGCTCACAGCATAACATGCAGCATGACCAGTGCGCAAACAGCCGCTTTGCACCTGCAATTTGGAAAAAGAAATACAATCTCCCCCTCTATGATCACCCAATACCGCATGCATTGAAAGAATACCCGTCAGGTCGCTAGCACTAGTACCAGACAATTTATTTCTCAAACATTGTCCCATTATTCACCAAGTAGTCCCGTCCTGCAACTCTCCACGACTAGATGGTGAATTCGGTCCCCCCAGCCACGCTACCACTCTTGTATACTTGGCATAAAACTACCAATGCGTAATATACAATGCCATCCTCTTCAGTCAGTCACCCCACTACCAAGCCGGCTCCCACTTGGTCGTCTTTACACCCCTCGGCCGTTTTACAAGGCAGCCAGGGCAAGGCCGGCGGCGGCAACGGCAGCAAGGGCCACTCCGGTCTCGCGGGAAGCAGCTCCGGTCTTGGTAGGCTGGCTGCTGCCGCTGCCGCTGCCCGCCTTAACGATGCCGTCTCTCGAGGCGTTAGTTGGCAAGTGAGCGATTAGCCATGGAGCACGACTACGACTTAATAGTGTTCAGCCCCGAGGGAATACAACAGAACAAATCATCCCTTACTTGACGACAGGTTCCACAATTGCTACTCAATTTCACTTATGATTCCACCTGAGAAGACGTTGTAGCTGCTCTCGTCAAATACATGACTGTTTCTGGTAACAGTGCCTAGGCTCAGGCTGTTTGCTCACAGCATAACATGCAGCATGACCAGTGCGCAAACAGCCGCTTTGCACCTGCAATTTGGAAAAAGAAATACAATCTCCCCCTCTATGATCACCCAATACCGCATGCATTGAAAGAATACCCGTCAGGTCGCTAGCACTAGTACCAGACAATTTATTTCTCAAACATTGTCCCATTATTCACCAAGTAGTCCCGTCCTGCAACTCTCCACGACTAGATGGTGAATTCGGTCCCCCCAGCCACGCTACCACTCTTGTATACTTGGCATAAAACTACCAATGCGTAATATACAATGCCATCCTCTTCAGTCAGTCACCCCACTACCAAGCCGGCTCCCACTTGGTCGTCTTTACACCCCTCGGCCGTTTTACAAGGCAGCCAGGGCAAGGCCGGCGGCGGCAACGGCAGCAAGGGCCACTCCGGTCTCGCGGGAAGCAGCTCCGGTCTTGGTAGGGTTGTCCACCCCGCTGCCGCTGCCGGCCTTGCAGTCGATGGGGCTCTTGGACGTGACTTGGCCGGCGCCGGGGCACTTGGCCAGGTCGCTGGAGTGGGCTTTGAGCCAGGACGAGGCCGACGAGGTGTAGCTGGACCAGTCCTTGCTGAGGCTGGCGGGGACGGAGATGGAGCAGTAGTCCTTGGGCGGGTTGGTCATTCCTTGGTCAGGTCGGGAGGGGGGGTCGGCAGCGTCTTGAGGAGGTCGAGGCATTGCGTGGCCGCGCTGAGATTGGTCTGACGGGGCTGGAGGTTGGCCGCGAAGGCGGTGCCGGCGAGGGCGGCGAGGATGGTCTTGGTCTGCATTGTGGTGGGTTGGGGGGGACCTTTGGCAACGGAGCCCGCAAAGGAAATGATGGTAGAGAAGATGGTGTATTATATGAATACAGGGGGGGGGGGGCAGGGAAGGGGAAGCT